AAATAAACTCTGAAAATCCATAAAGATGATGTTTCTAGTACAATCAATTCTAGATCTACTGTCAGATGGCTTCAATTTGTTCAGTATAGCTGTACACAAGCATAGTAATAATCTGGCTTGAGGATCTTCTCATACTTAATCTTTATTGTTGGTGACTTGAGGTTTTTGTTTAAATGTCAACATGGTGGCACATGCCCATTATCCCAGCACTGGGAAGGCTGAAGCAGGAGGATCCCCCAAGTTTGATTTCATAGTGAGTTCAAGGCCAGCATGAACTACATACTGACAGACCCTGTGTCAAAAGAAAAAACAACAAAATAAAATCCCTTGTTATCCTGTTATGTACCCTATTAACTTGCATAACAACATATTGAAATGCTTGTTTGTTTTCTTCAATACGTAAACCATTAACTCCATGAAGGTAGATATGTGTGTTTTAAAGGCACAAATTAACTCAATTTTCACTAAGCTTTTGCTGTAATACAATCTAGAGGATTACTTCTTGGTGTTTAAAAATGGAGCTGAAATACTATACATTTCAGATCTGGAGACAAGATAGAGGCTCTGAAAGATTACAAGAGTTACATGGTGATGTTTGCCACGGATACACAGAGGGATTGTTGAAAACACAAAATAATTTGAATGGTTAATTACACATGTAACTAAATCAACACCTTTCTCCCTGAGTAACATCTTCTGATCTCATACTCGTTTTACACTATGCTTTTGTAACTTGCTTTAGTAATTAACACAAACACATTAAAAACACAGGATGATGATGTACTCAGAAGGGCCAACCATGAGGTACTATAGAAAACAACCAGGAGAAATTTGAGCAAAATATCCACATTCTTCAGAAAACTCAATCCTTTCGTCTTGCTGATACAGATGTGTCTGCCCATTAGTCCAAAAAGTAGACCTAGCTGGCTTCAGAGCAAGAAGCCAGGCTGACAGCTGGGTGGTGCCAACTCAGGATACCCATGAGGTAGCCAAGCTTGGGTCCCGTCTTCATGCTGCCACCACTGCTTCAGCTGTAATTTGGCAAACTCAAGTGTTACATAAAAATTACCACACTGACGATAAGCTTTAAAAAGGAGGGAAAACACTCCAATGTACACAGGCTCTGGTCCCCAGGCCCCTAAATATTAGGCACCTCATGGGGCACGTCTTACGTGACTTCTTGCTTTTCAGTGGATCTTACAAGTTGGATAAAGCTTTCTTTGTTATACGCTGAAGAATACTCAGGAAGAAGAAAGAAGCATATTCTAAGTTTCAGGAATATAATATAATCTATTTAAAAGCCAAGAATATAACATTTGCTCTGAAGGAATAAAAACATTGTATTGGCACAGCAACAGCTAATCAAACTGCTTAAAATTATACTGTTAGAGGCTTCAAAATCCATTATGACTCTCCCAATGTGCAAAATGACCACGGGCAGGATTGGTCTGTAAGCCAGTAAGAGCTGGGTTTGGTTTCCAGTGTTGCTACTTCATAAATGCGACTGTGGGCAAAACCTCTCCAAGTTTCAATTTTCAGATATAAAATGGTAACATTACTTGTCTCATAGGGCTGTTTGGAAATTAAACGAGATAATAAGATCAAGAAATAGAGCTTCCTCCTCCTCCTCCTCCTCTGACCTCTAGAATCAATGCTGTTTAATGGAACTCTCTGGGAAGATGGAAATACACCACTCTATGAAGTGCACTGTCTAATGTGATAGCCATGTGGCTGAGCACCTGATACATGGCTTGCCTCACCAACAAATTTTTAATCACATTAATTTAATTAGCCATTTTTGGTATCATACTGGACAGCACAACACAAAGCCATGAAAGTATGTTTCTTTGAAACTTTAAATTCCTAGATGGGTCACAGGAGGGTCTAAAGAAAACAGCAGCAGATTCTTCACGAGTGTATCTCAGAATGTAGTTTACTAGACACTGTAGATAAGCTTTGTAGTCAAACATACCTAGACCATTTATCAGACTTAGCTGTGGTACCCAAGCCAATTTACCTAAACCTCAGGTTCCTCATTTATGGGGCAGGAATACTTAACACATTCATTGAGGAATTGTGAAGATAACAAATTACTTGATCTGATACAGTATGTGCTCAACTAACCTTGTTTCCTTTCTCCCCCCACCTTCATTGTTTGTTTCTTACACGACCACATTTTCTTCACATGCTGCTGGCCAAGTGCCTGATCTGTTACTAAATTTAATATTGACAAATCAGTTCAACAGATGGCATACACTACATCTGTCAGTATTAAACTTTAATTTCATTTTTAAGACTAACTTTAAACATGTACGATGAAAAGAAAATACGTTGGACATTCTGGAAATCTCCCCAATCTTTAATCCTAAAATTATTATTGCAAAATGGGAATAGATATTGGCTAGGAACAGGTACTAGGTTTTCTAGCTCTCTTCCTTCATTCTTTCATGTTACTAAGATTCTCAGGTAAGGATTAGTACTTCAGAATTATTCCATTACAAAATTATTTCATTTACTTGAGGATGAAAATGAAAATAAAAATCAGAACTTAATTTATATATTTTTTGTATCCAGAAATTTAGCTTTGGGGCTTTAGGAATTGCCACATTTGATGTTAAGGTAACATATCAACAAGCCCTTTACGGTGACCTGGCTATCTTTAAGTTTCCTTTCAATAACAGAAGATCCCAAATATCTCTACAAGGTGGTTTATCAGTATCTGGAAGGAAATAATTGAGAATCACTTTTAGGCTGTTGATGAGGCGGTGGGAACTGGTGGACCCTAACCTAAAGCGGTCAGCTTCATTATTATCCGAGGGTCCCCCTCAGTGCCCAGGCCTCACAACAGCAATCTATCGTATCTATTACTCTTAATTTACCACTGGAGGCTGTCACTCTTTGCTGCCTATTTTCAGATAGTTCACCAAAGCACAATGTACGAGCACTAATACAATTCTTTAATATTTTGCTTCACTGTCAGTTTAGACAGGGAGTTTGACCTTTTAGCCAAGCAAATTCTATATTAAAAATTTAAATCTGTATACAATTTCTGATCACTGGGCACCAACTTTAATACCAATGGGGAAAAAGCTTTAACTAGGTACAAAATGTTGTGTGCTTTATTTAGCCTGTTTAAATACTTTACTTTGGACTTACCCTCTTGTCCTACAGGCTCTTAAGCAAACAACAAAAAACCAGCATTAACCATTTCATCGGATATAAGAAACGAGACATTTGGTGTCTGTATTACACAACCAGGGAGAAATACCTTAAGTTATCTATACGTACGTACGCCCCCCATATATATATGCGCACAGAAATACAAACAATAAATGGATCAACTCCAAAAATCTCGTTTTACCTCTACTTCAATCAACAAACCAAAGTACTTCCAAAATATAAACCAACCACCATACACGGAAATCGTAAGTATATATTTCCAAGTGTTAATTAATCTCATGCACTACTAGATTAAACCATAAAGAAACCAGCTTGTTTCCAGGCTGCCAACTCCTTCACTTTAAGGCTTGGATGTACTTTTTCCAATAAAAGGTCAGTTTAGTTAACTAAACTTATTGTTTTTACTGCAGATATTTTAAAAAAAAGTTTAGTATTACCACAGCAGAGCCATAAATCACAACTGTGTTCAATTTTATGGGATACCAACAGGTTCTATCCGTCTGAAATTTATTTGCATAATCAAAAGTATGTTCCAACCACACTTGTAAAACAGCTGGTAACCCAACTATCCTAAATATACAGACGTTTGAAAGCAAAATTCTAAAAATCTTCAACTTGCAGAACTGGTGCACGGGTGTGTGTGTGTGTGTGTGTGTGTGTGTGTGTGAATTTATAGCTTTTTTAAATCTCTCCCCTCAGTTCTGCTAGGTCAACATATAATAAACAAATCACTACCTCCGAGTTGCCTTCCTACTAGGTAAAAAAATAAAGGAGAAAAAAAAAAAGGGAAAAGATAAGAAAAAACAAGGAAATCTGACAGGCACGAGTGCTGGGTACATAGTCCCACCCCCAACACTCTTGCCAGTCTTTAATAAGATCTGCATTCTGATCTGTTCTCATCCCACATACAGTGTTAATCTTGGAAAGCATCTCCGAACGAAAACTGGTTTAAAGAGTCCGAGGTGTCGCTTATACGCCAGGATTCCAGACTGGAGGGGTGGGACTTGGAACTTACGTGTCCCTGAACGTGGCCTTTGGGGAAGCAGTAGTGAGGGGGGAAAGGGAGATCAGTGGCAAAGTAGAGAAATGAATGCTGTGCACTACAAGGCCTGAAACTTTAGGTCTTCACGTATCTCTCTCCGGCCCCCGCTCAACCCAGCAATCAGAAAGCTCAGGAAAAGCTGAACGGCCAGCGTGACTGGCGACAACTCCGAGAGCTGAGGATTTCAGCTCAAGAAGATGGGGGGAACGGGACGGGCGGAGGCTTCACGCTGCGAGCCCGCTCTCCGGGCGTCGCAGGGACCCCAACCGCGCGGGGCGAAGCCGGGGACGCCCGCGGCGGGGGCGTG